TGTCACCCAATAATGCTAATCAAATAATGTGTAAAATTTGTCAAAAGGAGATAAGTACTGCTAAATTAAAACTCCGTAAGTTAATTTGGACAACAGATTTATCAAAGGAAAATAAAACTCATTTGTCACATAGAGACAGACAGTGAATGATCAAACATAAAACAACTGATGGTGTTCTTAGATACACACAACCCTAAAGGTATTTGAAAAGATGATAATCATTTCAACAAGGGAAAAGACGTTCTAAACAAAATAAATTATTCATAATTTACAAAAGTGTACTTTGTATAAAATGGTTATACTATGGGAAACAAGGAAGTGCTTGAGGAGGAGCCCTAAGTAGCTTAAGGGCCAAGCAGAGGAGTATAACTAAGTGTGATTATTAACAACTAAAGTATTTATACTCACAAAACAACAAGAAATAAACCAAATAAAAGGCTGACAAATGTAAAAACTACTAGATGCATATGTAATCAGGTCATTCTCAAATTAATGTGACCATCAAAGAACATCTATCAGGTCATCGTGCTACTGATCAAATCTAAGGGTCATGTCAGCTTATAGTGCTTGTCCAGCAAATAATAAAAACAATGATGAAGTCAAGGGTAAGGGCTGTCCAATGAGTTGCTGCTCTCTCTTTGTTGAATTAGGAAGGTGATAAGAAAGTGGGAGCTGATTAGGTCCAAAGTAGGAGCAAAATAAAGATTTAGCAAAAATAACAGAAAATATTCACTAACCTACACAGAATGAGTTCAATATTAATTGCATAAACAGTTAAATTAAAAACGAGATAGATTGGCTAAGACAAGGTAGAGGTATTTACATAACTTCTAAACTCTTCATAACCAGTAGAGAGTCCACATTACTAAGCCAAATTAACATTCATCATCTAAATCCTATTTATAAAATAAATGTAGGTGTGTAACAAAGATTTTTAAACGTTTATCATGTTTTATGAAATCCAAGTTATGAAATGTAGGCAATATCATACTGCCTGTCCTACAATAAATGAAATATGGTCATGTACAAAATTTACTATTTGATGTGTTCAGCAATAAATCTGTTCATTAATTGGTTTAAATTTTACCAATATTAAGTGTTTCAGTCAGAACAACATAACTTTATTTCTCCAGATTCTAAAGTGAGCAATTCTAAAGTGAGCAATTCTAAAGTGAGCTCTCCTAATTCTAAAGTGAGCAAGGCCAAGCAGCTGTGTCACATTAACGTAATCTCTACCGATTTAGGAAATATGGGCCGATGTTTACATCCCTAAGAGGACAAATGAATTCTAATCAATATCCAGCTACTTAATTCTAAAGTTAAAAGTGTGCAAAACCCATATTTAAATTAAAACATTAACTTATCCATAACCCACATTTAAGTTAAATCAACAACTCGGACTTACTCTTCCTTTTCGGCATTTTTATCTTTTAGGAATTATATTATAAGCTTTTCTGATTTCTGCTTAAGAATCACATGGCTGATAGAATATTTTCTCACTTGTGCCCAAGGTCTGTTAGAATGTATGTTTACTTTCTGATAATACCTTGCTGTTTAACCCAGACACAGAGAGTGAAATTTTGTGTCAAGCATTTAAAAGTTCCCAAGCTGAGAATACATGAAGAATTAAAAGAATTAAAACTTATTAAATGCAAATTCCCTACAGCAGCTTTAATCTGCTGCGTTATTTCATTTGTACTTCCAGACAGTTTCCCCCCTTGTTCTGATCACAATGTCCACTGATCGGAGATCTGAACAAGTTCCTACATTTGACAGACGTCAGAAAGATTCAATTGATGACTAACGATATTTTTAGAGTGTTCAAAATGCAGTTTTTGAATTCAACAGGTACTGCCCACCAGATTATTTTCACCCGGGTGCGATTGTCATCCGCTGAACTCCCTTGTCTTGATTGTAAATGTCAAACAAAGATTTAAACAAACAACAAAATAAGGAGAAAAAATGCAATTTGACAATAGTCACTAATCTTTTTGGTCTGGGATTACTGTTTTGACTAAAGTATACTCTCTTAGCTTTTATTTGGGCACTCCTTTACTACCAAGTACTGATAAACAGTCAATGTCTCAAATTGAGGGATTCCACTAAAACCCTTCACTTTCAGCCACTAAAATAGTGAGACAGTTTATAGTTCAAATTATATTTGTCACCAGACACCAGGAATTAAATATCTGGTTAGTGCTTAACCTTTTGATGTATGAATTATGAAATCTTCAACCATGATTTTTTTACAATTATTTTCATTCGTCTTTGGGTGCGAATGAAACTAATTTCAACAAATATTGTTTGTAACATTTAATAATTTGCAAATAATTTATTACATGTCCACCACCGTGGACAGCGTGCATTCTGAGCATGAAATATGGGCTTGACTTACTGAAGTAAAATGGAGGGGCTCAAATGCAATAAAGTCTTCAGCAGCTGTGCTTAATAGCAAAAACAAGTAAATAATAATTTAGAGAATTTGTTCAAATTATATTTTTCATCTTTATTTTCTACTTGTACCCTTCAGGCCGCAGTTGACCTTGGTGGCTCAAACTCAGAGCACAGCTGCGATTGTTCTGATTCTTTAGGCAGGCTATTCCTCCTCTGTTTCACATTTTCAACCTTTTTTTTCTCTCCGCTGCTCTGTGCATCCTCATAACCATAATCCTGATAGTTAATTTGCAATTTTCTCATTTGTCTCTTTTGTGCTATCTCACTTTAAGGTTACCCTGCAAGTACAACACATCAGCGATTACCAAAATACCAGCGAAACATGTTTTCCATCAATGTACCATCTTCATTCAAAATGTGTTTGTGAGTTCTTATTCCCCCCATACATAGATACCACACGTACAAAGCAAATCCATACACTCTCATTTATCCAAACAACAATTAAAGCAGACAACATCTAAGACAAACAAACAACAACACAGATAACTAGAGTTGTGTTTCTATTCAAGGCAAAATGCCCAAAGGCCAGGCCAAATCAAAGTAGCATTTATATTTCAGGTCAAAACGCCCAAAATCCAATTTAACCTCTTAGTTATCACACCAGCACATTTATTTATCATTTATTAACTTCATCCCACCAGAGTTGCGTTTATATTTTCCAGCTAACGCTCAAAAACCAATTTAACCTCTGGTCACCTAGGGTTTCTCTCAGTACCACAAAACAACAACAAACTTGTCTCACCAAATCCCTCCACTCAGGGCTTGAGTTTGTGGATCCGCATTCCTCCTAGCGACATCAAGACCCCACCGACCCCCCAGCAAAACTCAGCGCTGGAGGAAATGAGGTTGTCGACTGTCCTCCTGTGTCGGTTCTTGGCGCCGCGAGGTGATGGGACCCCGGCTTTCGAAGGACCAAATAATGTCATGGATTTTATCAATATGTTTATCAATAACCCATTTCCCTGTAGTCGGAGAGAAAAATGAGACAAAGTCAAACAGTTATAACTGTGGCATAATGCACGAGACAAAATGCCCCGAACATCCGGTCTCAAGAGTTTATTTATACCAAGAGATAAGAAGGAAATGGGATTGAGAGAGAGAGAGAGAGAGATCGTGTGCGTGTGTGTGTGTATGGGATGTCAAGAATGTGTGTGTGTGTGTGTGTGTGTGTGTGTGTGTGTGTGTGTGTGTGTGTGTGTGTGTGTGTGTGTGTGTGTGTGTGGCTTGTGTGGGTGTGGCTTGTGTGGGTGTGTCTGAATGAGTGAGCATGCAAAGAGGCATAGAGCAATACATTTACATTCAGTTGATTGAGTCAATGATCAAGAATTAATAAACATAAAATTTCCATAACAGTTTGCTTTTCATTTCCTCAGTTCTCACTATATCACCAAAATATTTCTGGTGAGTGATCCTAGTCTGACCCCAATATAAATAGATGTCATAAGCTGGTGGACGTGGCCTTTTTTTCTGAAATAGCGCCCCCTACAACCATTAAAACTCTCAGCCCCAAGTCATGCTTTGACTGAGGATTGTGAAATTTTGCACACTTATGTAGTGTGCCTGGGCCTACAAAGAAGTCCCATAGAACCATGCTCCATATCCCACAGGAAGTCAGCCATTTTGGTCCATTACATTACAGAGTTTCTTTCTAAGCCGGAATATTTTGCTAATTGAAAACATTTTTAGTGGGGACTGTTGGCAGGCTAGGAGGAAAGGTTGAGTCAGATTGAGGTGACAGCTGACAGTGATCGCAGTTAAATGCACGCTAGGATGTCTGGCGCACATGGGCGCTCGTGCGCCACCGGTTGCAGGGCGATGGGTTGGGAGAGTGTCGGGATGGAGTGGAGGGGGTGCCGACAGAGGGCGAGCAGCTTTGCTGCAAGGGCCGAACGACGCTGCTTGCAGCTTTAATTCAGTTTCTAATTTCCGCATTGATCGGTCAAACATTAGTCTGGTAAAATCATAAAGAGCTCTGTATATTTCAATTACACAAGATATAAAGAACAGTAAACATGTTTTACACATGTTACACAAGATTTCACTCCTGGGTTTGCAAACAAACATCCGCAGCTGTCTTTTAATTTCCTAGTAAACCTTTTTGTTTCCTTAGATGGCTGTATCTGCAAAGAATTTTGCCAAGAGCAAAATAAATAGCAAACACACTCACAAAAAGAATTAGTTGCCCTTTTAAAGAAAATAAGAAAGTGGGATAGGAGTTGTTTTTAATGGATTTATTTGAAAACTCTGGGAGACTGACTCTTGGAATGTCAGGAGAGCAAGCAGCGTAAAACCTGAGGATTTGACGGCATAAATACTGCACTTCAGAGGTTCCAGACATCAAACTTGATGGTTAAAAGGAAGAATGAATAAATTATCTTCACATGCAAAAGTAGAAATATCTTGAAATACTTTCTACTTTGTATTTCTATAACAGAGCTTTGAGAAGACAACACTTCGGGGACAGCTTGATGGATTTTCACACTTCTGCTTTTTATCAGTTAAACTAATTTACCCATGGCTGTTCCTCTTGTTTTAATGTTGTACAGGTTTGAGCGGGTCACTGATGACAACGATGGGACCTACGGATCAGAGGAGAGGACAGACAACGCCTGCGTAGCTCAGTACCAGAGCACCACTCTGCGTGTCCTCACACAGTTTGTTGCAGATGCCAGAGAAATTAAAGTAGCCACAGAGGAGGACAGACTGGGTCAGCACAACTTCCTGCTTGGTGCTGACTGGCATGTGGATGTGACACAACTCGTCAAGGAATCTCTGAGGGTGGAGGACCCAAAGATTGCAGAACTGCTGGAGGGCCAAGTGCTAATAGGACTGAGCGCTGGGAGCACCAAACTGCAGGTGGGATTGGTGTAGATTTTAATGGCAGACACAACTATTTATGGAAAAAATAAGCTGTGTGCATCGCTTTAAACCAAATGAAGATGGTGAAAGATTCTTGTACTTGATCCAAATTAGACGATTACACCATTATACGTTTTTTTTTTCTTTGTGGGTTGGAAAATTTTTCAGTGTATCGAACTTTTAGATTTTGAACATTTAGAATGAAGAAAGCCACAGAGTGAATTTATTCAATAGTGTTAATCTGTTCACAGATGTTACAACTCCATATCAGTGATTTAAGGCTCAAAAAGTTTCAGACCATATTTATTTTAAAAAGTTTTGAATTAATGTAACAGCTAAAAATGCGGCTTTTAAAATGTTTTCAGTAAGACACTCTTCCGTACCATTTTCAGCAACTCAAATAATCAGACAGTCACATGATTTAATTAACCTAAACGAGGCCTTGCTTGCCTTCGTCTTGTGATATTCTTAGAAATATCAACATGGGCCAAATCCCAATACTCGCACTTTCCACCCTTTCGTCCTTTAAATGTTCGTTCTCGTCTAGGGGTGCAAATGCGTAGGCTGTTCCGATTCTCAAGTGCGGAAGTTGACCACGCCCCTTTTGCACCCTTCATCAGTACTTCGCAGAAATCCGCATCAATGCAACTTTTCCTTCCAATCAGGAAAAATAAACATTTCGAATATTAACGGAAAATCTAATCTTTAACAATAGAACCAAATTTGTATAATTTTCTCTTTTACCCAAAATGAAAAAAGTTCACTTTAAGACGATTATTGATATTTATATATGCTCTAATTGTTTAAGATTCAATGTGAACAACAATAAATGCAAATTTTGTCAAATAATTGTTAGAAATTTGTTAATACATATTTTTCTACAAAGTAGTACAAAAAGTGACTTGCACCCTGGCATACGTCTACTTCACACTTCCTCCAAGTTCACTATGCTGAGGACCGTAGGACGCAATGCAAGTATTGGGATTGGGCCATGGGCTTCAGAAGGATGTGCTTTCTTTGGCACAGGTCTTGGGCTTCAGTATAATATTTACACTTCTTATTTAACACTTGGGATTTTACAGTGTAGGTTTTATGTCCAGTCCCTATTGAATTTTTTGGAAGTTTCCTAATAACTGCAATTTTTAACCAACAATTGCACCCCAGCTAGACTCAGCAATGCAGTTTGGTGGAATCACATAATTAAATGCTAAAGTGAGGTCAAGGGTTTCCACTTGCTTACAAAACAAGCCAGGGCTTGCTAAAAAATAAAGGCAGTGATTAAATATTGTGTAACATTATTTTTGCTATCCCCCTTCTCCATCCCAGACAGGAAAGATCTGTATCTTTCTTCCCTGAAGGTGCCACTTTAAGGCTTCTGCCATGTCACAGAATGCTCTCTAATATCCCTCAAACTGATCATCTCTCCTCCTCTCTAAACTTGAGTGCCCACGAGCAGGTGTCCAGACTTTCTGCTGCTTTTATCATGAGAAGTTAGGGTTCTTTTCCTAGAGCCTATGCTGGTAGTAGTAGCAGTCAGATTGCTGCTTCTCCTTTTATCAGAGTTATGTCTCTCCTTTATTCTATTAGACACACTGCAGATCCTCCCTTTGGCCTACATCCATAATTGTGAAATTCTCCAGATTTGTCAAGTCTATTTTACCCTTCAAGTTCCAACTTTATGGAATTTTTTATTATGCCCCCAGAGGGCAATTAAAGACCCCTTCCAGACGTGCCCTTTCCTATTCAAGCCTGTCAAAGTGTTGTCTTATTTAATTTCATTGCGGATCAGGGAGGGCTCTCACTACCTGAAACCCACTAAATCCAATTTGCACTTAAATCTGGGCTAGAGCAACCAACAATAACACGTGAAATTCATTGTTACCCAGACAGTGTGTCTCTGACTCATGCTGACACTTTTGCAAAGGTTAGCAGCAGAATGTGTTCTGCATGCAAGTATCCCATCTATAACATGTCAGCGAGTGCTTAAATGGATTTACTCCTCCCCCTGGCTGCACCATCTAACTTTCAGCACAGTATATTAATGATCCCATTACTGATTTGATGGACAGTAATGGATCTTCTAGCATCAAATCCCTGGTTTTACTTCCAGTTTCAAGTAAATTTGGAAAACAATTTAGCGTGAAACTTTTTTCATTCCTCTTAACAACACAGTATAGTTATAAATATAATTTGGAGATTAAAAAAACATTATTGACGTGGTTCTTTCGCATTTGTTTAAAATGTAATCAATGGACCATGTGTTTGTCAGTGTCGTCGAAAAGCTGCACTTCCCTGGGCCCTCCATGCATTACTCACTCATGTATTCAGCAACAGAACACTGGAGTGAGAGCGTCTCCGCTCAATAAAGTCAGAAAAGGAGAAACAGCTGACTGCCAGAGGTGTGGACTCGAGTCACATGACTTGGACTCGAGTCAGACTTGAGTCATTATTTTAATGACATCTAACTTGACTTGATAAAATCTATAGACTTACGACTTACGACTTGACTCAGACTTTAACGCCAATGGCTTTCAACGTGAATCGACTTACATCTGTCGACTTGATGATGACTTGAGCATATTTTATATTTTAGCACAAAAGTGGCACAACATGGACAAAAATCATAAATCATTTTTCGTTCTGGGTTTGACTTTGTTCTGCTAAATGCAGCAGCACTTTGTTTATAATCAATTTCAGTTGCACTTCCTACTTGTTTAGCAAAAAAATGAAGCTTTAAGAAGCTTTATTTCTGGAATTTATTTATTATCATTGTCATTAAATTGAAGTTGGACTGATGACTTGATTACAACTTGAAAATTCAAAGTTAAGAACTTGGACTTGACTTGGACTTCCTAATCATTGGCTTTGGACTCAACTTGGACTTGGTTGATTTGACTTGGACTTGGACTCGAGACTTGACTGGAAAGACTTGTGACTTACTTGTGACTTGCAAAGCAGTGACGTGGTCACACCTCTGCTGACTACTACCACTTCAACTTTAGGACAAACCAGAGTCCCAAAAAGAAAAAGAAAAAACACCATTTGAAGTCACAGACAACAAAATATATTTGGACATAGAAAACAGCAACTGGTGTTTAGTGCAATGTCATTTCCTCTGGCAATGTAGGTTCTATTTCGTCTAGTCTTAGCCCTTAAGCTAGCTGCTATTGGAAGGATGATCTCCGCATCAGCCAATCATGAAGAGCTAAAATGTACGCCCACCAATAGTGGGCCCCCTTGTGGTATATAACCGCAGTGACCCCACTGCTCACCTCCTTTTTCTCTTCATGCCAAGCTTGAGAGCTTTATTAAAGAGCAAATATTATCCCAAAAGAGCAAAATTATCCGAAGACGACTTACCAGCCATGTCCAGCGACGCCAGACCCTGCCCGACGGGCTCCATTTCCAGTGGCGACCTGCACGCTAAGTGTGAGGTCTGTCTCGGGGCTCACCACGCTGGCCTGGCCTTGACCCCGCAGGCCTCGTGCCCGTTCTGTGCCGCTCTGCCCGTGGCGGAGAAGATTCGCCGGGTCGAGTACTTCACTCCCGCCGCCGACGAAGAATTTCCGGTGGCTGACTCCTACCCGCTGGACAAGGCTTTGGTTTTCTTCGACGCCGGTCAGGAGCCGGCTGGCTTCAACCGGCTGGATGACGTCACCGACAGCGAAAACTACGATGAGGCGGCATCCCTCCTAGACATAACGGAGGTCGACGAGCTTCGCTCAGCGGGTCCTTCTGCCCCAGTGGCTTCTCGCTCCTCCCTGCCAGCAGTAAGAGCACTGCTCCAGGAGCTGCCCGCCATCATTTCTGCGGCAGCAGCCCGCAAGGGGCTAGCTGTGCCTGAACCGGCCCTGCCTGAAGCGGATGATTTGGCGGGAATTTTCGGGGCAACTCAGACACGCTGTCCAGACCCTATCTGGCCGCGCTTCCCCGCTGCTATGAGCTGCTGGTCTGCCGCCTTCTCCGAGCCTGCCAAGCTCAAGGCGTCAGTCTCCACGTATGTGCCCATCACCAAGGTCGAGGGGTTTTCCGACCAAGGCTGGCCGTCCGTTCCTCCGCTAGAGCCGGATTTGGCCTCGCTGTTCGGCGCCAAGAACCACCTCGCTAGCCCGCGAGCTGTTCCCGCTTCAAAACATGACCAGCTACTGACGCGGCTCACCGACCGCGCACATCAGTGTGCCTTTTAGACCGGCGCTGCAGGCAATAACATCGCCCTTCTTGCCTTCGGCGTCTCCAAGATGATGGAGGAGCTGGAAGCTCCCGAGGAGTCGAAAGCCGTCATAACTAAGACTGCTGATGCTATCCTCAATCTGTGTGCTGCTGTGCTCACCGGTTCTGCTCGCATCGCTGCCTGGCAGACCCTCATCCAGCGAGCGATCTGGCTGAAGGCCCTGCCCTCCATTCCGGAACATCTGCAAAGGGAGATGCTGGATGGCCCCATCACCACCGATGTTCTGTTTGGTCCCCATCTTAGGGGCGTCATTGAGAGGGCTCAGAAGACGGCCGAACTATCGGCTACGGTGCGAGACCTGGTCCACCCTCGGTCAGCCTCGCACTCCGGCCGTTCAGCCAGAGGATGGGACGAACGGCGCGGACGCTTCAGACGTCCAGCTGCACCGCCCGCTCCACGGAGCCGGCCTCCCGCTTCGGCTCCACATCAGCGGGACCAGCGAGATGGCGGACAACGGTTCCGGCGGGGCCAGCAGACGCCGTCTTGGTAGTCCCAGGTGCAGGAGCCTCGCCGAAAGCAGCCACGGAAGTGACTCTTTGGGGGGAATGTGTGTGTTACTGATTGTTCTGATGTTGTTGGCTTTGAAATAAAACCCAAAAAACGTCACTCAAAGAGCACAATCCTACAGTCCTCCGCAGAATCCTCTGCCGAGTTTTCACACGTTCCCCACACCAAGCACTGCTGCACGCACACATGTTCCTGCAGGTAGTCATAATACACGGCCAGCCGTAAGGGTGCGCTCCATTTGCGCTCCGGCCCCAGCATC